CATTGAGTAGACTCATTTGCCATCTTAATTTGTGCTGAGAGTAGCATTATTTTCCAACTAAAGTGTGTTTTGTGTGTTAATAATATAATAAAATGTATTTAAAAACATGATTTTGTTGAAAAAGTGCTTAAGTCCAGTGTTTGGTTTCAGTGCAAGAAGTACCTAAGTCACGGAATAGGACAAAAAGTACTCAAGTCAAAAAACTAAATTATCTATATCTTTAAAAAAATGAGGGTTTAAAGCTTAAAAATGTGCAGGTCTATTCATGACAACACTACAAATATGTAGCAGTAATCAGAAATATAATGGAATGTCTTGCCTGATTTAAAGGTCGTTTTGAATATTTGAACTTGATTATCTCAAAATGGTTATTTTGTGACTTAAGTACTTTTAGCACTAAGGTCTTCAAATTAAGCACTGGATAAACATCAACAACCTCAAATTGAACGATGAAAAGACCGCGCTGATCTCCATTGCTAACGCTCAAAAGCTAAAATCTGTAAATAACATACCATCCCTTACTCTCGTATACAGGTTGAGTTTGCTCAAACGGTGCGAAACCTGGGTGTCTACTTGGATAGAACACTAACTATGGAAAATCACATTAACATGCTTTGCAAGGCGATTTTTCTAGAGATGCGCCGAATTAGTCATATCAGACCTTTCTTAACGTTTGAGGCAACAAAGAGACTGATGTCTGCATTCGTGCTATCACGCATGGACTAGTGAAATGCTCTCATGGTGGGTCTTCCAGCTACGCTCCTGGATAAAATTTAAAAAAAGCACATAATAAAGCGGCTCGCATTGTTCTTCGCAAACGCACATTTGACCATGCTGAAACACTTTTGAGAGAATTTCATTGGCTGCCGGTCCGCGCTCGCAGAGTGCAAAATTGGAACTCTTGTGCTACCGCTGTCTGCATGACCTGGCGCCGACCTATCTCAAAGCGCTCATGACGACTTATGGCAAATTCTCGGTACCACGTATTCGCCTTGAGACTTACGGAAGGCGCACTTTCGCATTTGGTGGCAATTTAGAACACACTTCTTGACGCTCTCAGAAACAGCCAGACACTGGAGTCTTTCAAAACCGAATTGAAAACACATCTATTTCGCAAACACCTGCTGGGGTGATGTTGTTTACCATCTTTTCCAGCTGGCTATTATATCCTAGATGTATATTGGCCTGTGTTGTTTATGTTTAGAAAGGGATGAAAGACTTAGAATGGGAATTCCCGTATGTAGTTTTTGTAATGTTACGTTTTGTATTTCATTGTGGTATAATATAGATTTGTTTCATTTCTCTTTTAATATGTTTGACGTTGTACCGCGCTTCGAGCCTTTGGGGATGAAGCGTGATTTTCAAATAAACTTTATTATTATTATTACTTTTCGCGCCTAGGTGTTGATTACAAATGTTTCACCCTAAAGGTAACATTTTCCTAGCAACAAATGAAAGCGAACCCAACAAAAACTAAGCCCCAATCAAGTCGAGAATGAGGGTATCAATGATCTTTCATCTGATTTCTTGACACAATCAAACACGTGTTTATTAAGAGACATACTTTTTAATATATATATTGCTTTTGTTATGTTTTTTCTTATTTTTGTTTTTGAAATAAATGAATATTTTAATTGTGTGTTTGAATGGGAATGGGTTTTTTTTCAGTTACATCAGTATAAATTCAGAGTTTAAAAAAAAAAATTATTATAAAATTATCAGCAAAAACATGGATACAAGCAGATGTGAATAAAAAAAAAAAGTTTCAAGAAAGTGAAGATGTAGTTTTTTAATCTTCTTTTTAATTTCTGCTCTAGTGATATATGCGCTCAGCTCTTTTTTAAAATGTCTTCCTTTTAATATCTATTCTTATTCTATTGATATATGCTCTCATTTCGTGTCTATACTATAAGTAAGAAAATGAAAAAAACACACATTTAAAATGTTAAGTGTAAGAAACAGCAAACCTGTTTTGTTTCTTTAATGTCTAAATCAGTGATGTGCTGTGGAAATCTGGGAATGGTCTAGGCGTGCCATGAGGGGAAAAAGGTTGGGNAACTAGTGTAGATGGAAAGCATTGATTGTGAAAAGTGGACATTACATAAACCACATGGGGGGAACTAGTGTAGATGGAAAGCATTGATTGTGAAAAGTGGACATTACATAAACCACATGGGGGGAACTAGTGTAGATGGAAAGCATTGATTGTGAAAAGTGGACATTACATAAACCACATGGGGGGAACTAGTGTAGATGGAAAGCATTGATTGTGAAAAGTGGACATTACATAAACCACATGGGGGGAACTAGTGTAGATGGAAAGCATTGATTGTGAAAAGTGGACATTACATAAACCACATGGGGGGAACTAGTGTAGATGAAAAGCATTGATTGTGAAAAGTGGACATTACATAAACCACATGGGGGGAACTAGTGTAGATGGAAAGCATTGATTGTGAAAAGTGGACATTACATAAACCACAAATTTGAGTCTAAAAGGATCAGAGCATCTTTATTGAAATATGAAACACACAAAATGACCCAACATCTTTTCACATTTTTATTGCAATTTTAAAATAATTTAGCTTACAAATTTTATATATAAACAATCAATCTCTCCCCCTCCAAAAAAAATAAATCAACATCACCACCCCCCTTCCCCCAAATCAATCAAAAAAAAATTAAACGAGACTTAGAATTTTTATTTAATTCATAAAGAGTTGAGCAGTTTACATGAAATTTAAACAATTTTAGTTAACATCTTACATATCAATTGCATATAATTATAATGTTAATAATAAACAATCACTTCAAACAGCTTTTATTATTGTGAAGACTGAGATTTCAAATGCAACCTTATACATACAAATAGTCTAAAGGCACTGGTATCAATAGAGACCCTCATTGTTAGATGATGATTTTGTTTAACACAACATGTTTACCTCAAAGCATAACAAATAACAATAATTTTGTTGTAAATTAATGCCCAAGGGAAGTTACAATTCTATTCCAAAAAATGTTGTTTACCGCATCTGACAAAGCTTTATTTACTGTAATAATTTTAAGTATGGTTAAAAAAAATTACCATCACCAGTAATTTAAAGCATTTTTATCTCAACCCAAGGCACTTGAGTATTGCAAAATTAGCATGAATTACAATAATAAAACACTTTTTCAAGTGGTCAATGATTACAACAGTGTCATCCAAGTTTGAAAAAACATTCAAATATTTTCATATGTAGCTAAACATTTTATTCTTTTTTTTTCAAAGCCATAACAGGTTTTTTTTTTCTCCCAATTTTTTTAATTGCTTAAATTTTTTGTAGTTACGATTCCCAAATTACTGAGATGCAGTGTCTGCATGGTTATTTTCACCTCTGAAAAATAAACTGTTCTTTCACTGCTTGATTTTTTTTTTTATTGAGTCTTTGGAAACAACTAAAAAGTTATAACTATTAAATCATATAATTGTAAATAAGCAAAAGAACAAAGTCAAAACATGGTTCAAATAAATTAAATTATTTCTTCAATAAAAAAAAATATTTCAATTCAGTATCACAAATGTTAAAAATTAAGCACGTGTCAAATGCTAATTATATAACCCCAAAAAATAACAAGTTTTTCGTATAAATCCTTTGTGTGCATTTTTATTTTATATTAATTTATTTATACTAATGTCCCACCCACTTTTATACAGCAGATTTATTACATCGACTATTTAAAAAAAACAAAAGAAAATATTACACACTTGTGATATTTTGATTTTAAATAATCTCATTTAGCACAGTTATTGTGAATTTTATTTCATGATATCAGTGGGATCTTATTTCCTTCATCTTCCTCTTGAAAAACAGGAATAACTGATTTTGAAAGGGTGGGGCTGAAAATTTGCAAGAATTTGTTGTCATACGCAACGAGTCTATGTGCCAACTTTCCACTCAATAGGTTGATGAGAAGTGGGTCAATTGGCTGTCCCAAGATTTTGTCACACACCCAGACAGAAAGAAAGAAACTCACATACCAAAGTAAAATTAATATAAAGAATTTAAAAACAGAACTAAATAAAAATATGTTTGCCTTATGATAATTTTTTTTTAAACATTTCACTTTCATGACTTTTTGGCTTTTAACAAATACATTTTCTAATAAAATTATAGAATATCTGGTAATAGCCAATCAGAAAAGAAGCTTATCTAATTTAGTTAAAAAACTAACCAGGAAACACACATTTTTCTCTTACTAAAAGTCAAAGAAAAATGAAAAACAACAGCTGCATTCTGATAAGGTGATGATGAAAATATCTCACCCTTATTATCTTATTATTTAGAATTGTATGCGCAGGAAAGTTTTGAAACATTTCTTTTGAAGCAATAAATATTGTAAAATGAATCTCAAAAATTGAGTTTTGTCAACTGGAATTAGCAGCGCATGTGATGGCATTCATAAACTAACCGGTGCACTTTGTGTTGCATTAAGTTGCATACAAATTTGGGCTGTAGTGTAAGTGATTCGAAATAAAGAAAAATACACTACTCTAGTAATTTGTAGGCGCTTTTCCTCTAAAATTTTAAGAAATCATTTGTATAATATTCTCACTTATACTTACCATGAATAAGAGAGCTAAGTTAAACTTTTTTCTACACATCATGGTAGGGGAATGTGACTCAACCATAATTATTTTTGTTTAAAAACATTTTTTTTACACAAAAAGATTTATAAAAAAATCATATGCTCTGCAATGGGGAGATATAATTCAAGATAAAGGTTTTTCTGAAACGCACAAAACAAGGTGATAACTTAATTAAAACAGACTTCGCTGCCAATCACAGTATTTAATGCCCTAATGGTTTCAAAGCTACATACAGCATAAAGTAAATCAAGACATTGTAACAATATTACAATTAAAAAAACTTTTTAAAGATAAATGTTAACCCTTCACTTCACTTGCAGCAAGCCAAAACATTGACAAATTTATGCCAAACTTTATAAAAATTAAAATTGCAAAGTAAACAAATTTTTCTCAAAAAATTTTTTAAATGTGTTTAAAATTGTGCAAATAATAATGTAACTAAGCTTTATTTAATAGTAAGTTACATAATGACAATGTGCCATTATTCTCACAGGAAAATTTATTTAAAAAAATCAAATTTATGATCTTTTCCAAGGATAAATTTCTATTATATCCCATTTGAATGCATCTGATTTCTCATCACAAGTTTTCAATACCAATGTATGAAGTGATTCAGCAGCTACACATTTATTTAAGTCTTTGTGTCTGATAAGTCCACTGGCCTGAAAGGAAAAAAAATAACATTGTTTAATACACTTATTTCTTCTTAAGTTTACTAAATGTACAGAGCGTTTGTTATAATTTTAACCCACGAACAGTGGTCGGCCGATTAAATCTGCTGATTTCCCCTTCCTGTACTGTGTCTGCCGAGATAATCGGCAGATAAAAATTGTGTTGAAAGAACAACTTCCAGTCAAATATTTTGCACTAAATAAAACTACTTCCTTATAATAATAAATAAACCTCCATTTTTCGCTTTTCTGTGTCCATTTTTTAAAAACTTTGGAGTTATTTTTTACAACGATCTTTATCAAGCAAATTTGTGTAAGCAGATTTTTGTGAAATGGATGAGGCCATAGCTAGACCATCTGGCTTACAAAATAAATCAGGTAGGAATCTTTTTCATAATTCTTTTTAGTTAATGTCTTAAGTGATTCGGAAGATGATTTTCCGACCACACACAAAGACAATTATAGTTCCGATTATTTTTCTAGTGGGTCAGAAAGCGGAAGTTCTGACAATTTAGACCTAGGCCTAGAACGAGTAGGCATTGCCGCAACAACAGGACTCGTTCAAAACTATGTTGCAGATGATTTTGAACCAACAAAAAATAATTGGATGTTGTTCCATATATGTTTTCTTATATTTCATTTAATGGATTAAATATTTATACAGCAGCTTTTTAAATTTTATCTGTTTCTTGCTATTTAGTAATATTTATATTGTTTATGTCGTGCTTGGTTACTTGAATGTAATTACAGGTATCAGAAGAATAGAAAAAAAAATTCTATTAATAACTAAAACACATACAAATAATACATTTTCTGAAAGATATATAAAAATGCTATCATATTATATAAACATTATAATAATATGCCTTTTAAAAATTGTAGTTTGGGGTACTTGAAAATAAAACTTTTCATTATTTTCTTTATTCTTGGCCACTCCACTCCATGGAAACTAATGATCTCCAGAAATTTATACATTTTTTAAACTCATTTTACCCATCAATAAAATTTACTTCTCAAATCTCTGGACATTCTGTCAACTTCCTTGATATCACCTTAACTTTGAAAGAAAATGAATTGATTACATCTGCCTACTACAAACCAACTGACAGCCATAGTTACCTATTGTACTCATCCTCCCACCCCAAGTCATGCAAAGATTCTATACCTTTCTCACAACTTCTTAGACTCCGGCGTCTCTGTAAAATTGAGGAATTTCTAGAAAGAGCCGATGAAAGGATGGATTTCTTCCGCTCCAGATTCTATCCTGAAACTACTCTTGTCTCAGCACTAGATCGCATCAGCACGATCACACGAAAAGAGGCTTTCAAAACTCGCCAAAACAACAATGAAGATTGTACCAAACTTATACTAACCTACCACCCTCACAATTTAACTGCCAAAAAAATATTCCTAAAAAATCGTAGTATACTTCTTGCTGACCCTGATACCAACAGGGTTTTCTCATCCCTTCCACTGATTGTCTTTAGACGGCACAGAAATCTAGGTGATCTTCTGGTTCATAGTTGCCTTCGATCTGAACCGTCTTACGTTGGTACTAAACCATTCTTAAGAAGCCGCTGCATGACTTGTCCCTTTACACTCCGAACTGAAAGCATTAGCCTCCCTAAAGGTACCTTTACCATTAAAGAGGGTTTCACCTGTGTCAGCCGTAATGTAATATATGCTATTGTGTGCCGTAGATGCCAATCTAGTTACATAGGTGAAACTGGGGAAGATTGGCTGATAGGTTTACTGAACATCTAAGGGATATTGAGCAATGTAAACCTTCCCCAGTCTCTTCTCATTTCAACAGAAAAGAACATAAAGGTGCATTGGATGTAACCATTACGGCACTGATGTCATGCAGTAACACACCAGAAAGGGTTAAAATGGAAAATAAATTTATTCAGCTGTTTAGCACCATATCGCCATATGGTATTAATCAATTAATATCCTACTGATGTTTCTCTGTTTCCTTATATTTCACCTATTTTCTTATTGCTGTGTGTTGTTGTATCCCTGGATATTCTGGTCCATTATTATTGTGGACTTCATTTTTCACAGTGTAAATATTTATATTCTCTCGCTTCCTGTGTTCCCACTTCCGGCGACACCAATGGATTCTTCTTGAGTTGTCTACTGTGCTCTGTTTTTTGTTATATTTCTACTGTTGGCTGAGAAAGGGTTTATGCCGAATCGTCCTTGTTTTTTGTCCTGTTATCTTATTCAAGCTTCCACATACCTCGTTTTGCTATTTCATTCATTTACTAAGCTTGAAAGCAGTCCTTTCATTTATATTTTCAAGGTAACAGTCACAGAGTATAAAATAGCATTAACAAAATAGCCAATACGATTCCCCACTCAGTTTAATATCAATAAACACATACTTTATGGGGTCTAACTATAGTATTTGCATGTGAAAAATCACCTTTTTCAAAGGCACCCAAAAAAGCTAAAAATTGAATGCACAGTACAGAATAGTAACCAGCACAGTTCGTGGGTTAAGCCATCCTATTTTCGCAATGGCTAGATAGTAACAAAATATTATATCAATCAATTTACCTGATCCCACTCCCAAGGTCCGCTGGGTTTTGTGGAACAATAACTGAAGATTAATTTGTCTGAATCTCGTGTCAGAATGCAGCGCTCACCAATTCCAATTTGACCCTCCACATTGAGACGGTATTCCTGGCAGCACAGAAAAAAATTCATTTCAGTTTCTAAATACTCAACATCAAAGTTTATTAATCTGTCACCAAATGCAGAGACATAGAAAAGCAAGTTCACCAGCAACCCCCCCCCCCCTCCCCCCCACTCTATTAATAGAAAAATGCCACAATGCCCTGTCCCAATTTTAAGAGCCCACTACTATATCTAAGCGAGACAAGATTGCAAAGAAGATTGTGCTATCTTGTGTCGTTGAAAATTCTTGATTAATGTTTCAACATATCTTGGAAGTCTATCAATTTACAAATGAGAGTAGATTTTGGGGTCAAACTGTGTCACTTCATTGGAAGATCATTTGACAAAATCAATGAATCCTGGTGATATTAATTATGAGTCTCATTTGTACTACCCGGTAGGTACCTAGTATTTCAAACATTGAACATTCAAAAACAATAACATAATAAAGTTTAAATGATTGAACTAAATTAATATTTTGAAATTTAATTTTTTAATTTCCCCCACAAGAAGTCATACATGCCCCCCCCCCCCCCCCCCACAGGCACCTTTTTACTTTTTCTGGCCCAAAAACACCGGGCCGGTTTGGATTTGTTTGGGGCAAAAACCCCGGGGGGGGGGGGGGGGGCGCTTGCGAAATTAAGATGGATCCAGAGAACTCTTAGTGCTTAAACATAGGACCAGCAAAAAAAAAGTCATTCCTACATTGAAAAACATATTTAGATTTCTTTGAAACGTTTACTTTCAAAATCTTCTTAGCCCTTCTAACCAATAGGTCTAAAAATAATCCCTAAAAAGTAGGGGCTGCAGAAAGGCTTTAATAACACTTAAACAATTTTTAAAATAATACATGTATTGATGTCAGAATGCATACATTTGGAAAAGGCCTAAATTATTTATTAAGCATTCATTATTTATTAAAACTTAATGATTTTACTGTGGATATAAGTTATTTTACTGTAGCGTGGGTAAATTGATTTTAATGTAATGGGAATCAAGTTATTTAACTATAAAATGGATCAAAATATCATGGGTGACACATAAAAATCATAAATTAAAACAATCCAGCTATCACAGTAAAAAGCCAACCTGTGAGCGTCCCTCACAATAGCCTAATGAAACTATTGATTTATCCATTTGCATAGCACCTGAATCCCAGCACCGAGCTGTTGTCCCACGAGATCGAATCTGGAAATATTTAAATCACTTTCCATTGAATGCACTTTTTCATGTAATATCAGTTTAAAAAAAAGTAATATTATTTAAGAATTACCTTATGCTGAAAAGTTTTTAAAAATGTCATGGCCATTCATAAGTTAAATATTTGCACACCCAGGGCCGGATTAAGCCATCTTGATGCCCTAGGCACAAACCCACATGGGTGCCCCCTACTGCCCCGGATCCTCCACTGACTGCTGGTATGTTCAATATTATGCAAAAAACTAACAAAGAAAAACAGTTGTGAAATTCCACAAAGCTCTGCCACAAAAACCCAAAATATCCCTGTTGTACGAGAGCAAAATAACCCTCTGTTACATTATCAAAGCATCTCTAGTGTGTCATATCACAGCTGTCATGTTGTGCATTATCAAAATCAACAGCCCGTACAGTATCACAAGTATTATCCTGTACTTAATCAAAAAAAATGTATTGTCCAAAATCACACATTACATTTTCATCAACAAAATCTACATGGACTCTATTATAAGCGTCATGTGGTATGTCATCAAAAATCATATCCTGTACAAAATCCAAATTCATGTTGAACATGTAAAAAATCTGTATCCCGTGCGTCCCCTCTGTTTTCTATTATGGTTACCACCTCACTAGATGCCACAGAGAACTCCGTGTCCTGCACTCCGTTACAATGGCTTGAGATTCCTCTGGATAGCTATCCTCTTCCACAAAGTCAGTAATATTTTCAATTAATTCTTTTTCATAAGCTAATAAATGAACTTTACTCTCTTTAACCTCACCTAATGACCTCTCAGTTTCCCTAACGCCTTCCTCATTTTCTACCTTTTCCCCAAGTTTTAAGCTTATTATCCCATCTGAATTGATTCTTCTTAGTTTCTACTTCTGCTCTGTAAAGGCTACCTTGTGTTTCATTCCCTGACCACTCGATATAACTAATCTCTCTAGTGTACGGATTACCACAGTTAATAATAATTATCCCGTCTATCCCAGAGCTATCCCATTCTAATCCCTCACAATCGCTATTGTCACTGTCATAAAACTCTTGACTCCTGATTTTTTCTTTTGTTTCCCCGTTTTGTCTGGCAATGTACCATATTTTAAGTTTACAATGTAATCGTCCAGTTCCATGTCGCTGTCGTATTTAGGGAGGCATAAGTGATCGTTTTTGTTAGGTCTTGTTTTGTCACCATTACGTTGTGTAACTCCATTTTTTATTTTGTCTTATGCAATTTTTGTATCTGTTTCTATTTTTAATTTCCTAAGTTCATGTTCATGTTTTTCTATTCTTCTCTTTTCTTCTTGCTCATCTTCTTCCCTTCTTCTCCATTGTTCCCTTACATATGTATCTAACTCTTGTCCCGTAAATCTGAGGTCCTTTTCTCCCGTCTCCCGAATTTCGGCAATTATTTCCGATATGGTTCTCTTAGCTTTGCTTCTTGTTTCCATTTATAATTATTTACCCCTACAAAATATTACAAAATATAAGTTCTAAAAATGCACAGCGTTTAACTATATATTAGATAATTAATATATTAATACCAATAATATAACAATATAACAATAATAACAATTGAGTATCTAAATATTTTACCTAACTTTACTTGACTTGGCCACACAAAATAAGAAGAATGTCACAGTTTTTAAGTAATAATGTGTTCTGGAGTAGTGTCCGATTTGGGGCCACGTTCTTGACCCTGCAGCAGGCCCTGTGATGGTCGGGTCATAGATGCAGAGACGATGCGGTTGTAGGTGCTGTGATGATCTGGTAGCGGCACAGTGACGATCTGGTCGGTGGTGCGGCGATGGTCTGGTGGCGGCACAGGTGATGATCTGGTCGGTGGTGCTGTGATGATCTGGTAGCGGCACAGTGACGATCTGGTCATAGGTGATTTGCTTCGTGCCAAGGACATGGGAACACAGCAAACAGCGGTGTACAGCAACCAGCGGATTAGAGTAATCAGCGAAACACAGCAATAGTAGGACACAGCAATCAGCGGGACACAGCGGCAGGATACGTCAGCAGCAGTGTACTGCAACAGCATTGTAAAGCTCAGTGGAACACACCAACCAGCGGGTCACAGCATTGGACAGTTGCCTCAGCTGGGACAGGAGACACACAGCCTCCGACTAGCACCTCAGACAACTCCAGACAAGCGACACACAGCCTCGTACAGATGTGCAACGATACTTCACACAGCGGACGGGTCGATGTTTCACAGCTTTGGACGGGAATGCTATTTCACAGCTTCAGAGGAGCTTCTGTCGGACGGGAAACACACAGCCTCCAACGAGCGCCTCCCACAGCGGACTTCACAGCCCTGTAGGTTGATACTGCACAGCCCCGGACAGGGATGGTACTTCACAACTTAGTTCGGACGGCCTCACACTTCACAGCTTTTTACTAGTTTGGACGATAATACTTCCCAGCTTCAGACAGGATGAGTCTATGATCAAACGAGGATGATACTTAACAGCCCTTGATTCGTTCGGATGGGCCCCCAATGTCGACACGTTGAATCTATAGAGTTGCAATATATCCATTCATGGCAATGAGTGTCTACTTATCTGGCTAAGTCTCTCACTTGATCCCACGAACAATATAACCAATAGCAACAGTTTCTAATTCAACAAACACTTTACGGTTTGTTGCAATATATGAATTTATTTAAGAACAATTCCTTTAACTAGGGTTGTGATATAATTACAGATTACTAATCCAATCGGTTCAGCCTAGCACACAGTAACACAAGTCCAACCGTCAAAATATAATATCCGCCATCAATCTTCCATCACAACAACCGCCATCTCTATCCTTCCATCAACAACAAAACTAACGCGTCATATCCCCTTACATAATTACGTCACAACACTCTCACACAAATGATACAGATACACGTAAAATCTCTAACTCAACATCTTTCCCTATCAAACATGAAAACAATCATCTACACATAGCAACAGTGATTCTCATACCCTTGACAGTAAACACATATGTTTGTACTACTATCACTCATATAAAACCTACAATAAGGTATTTCTGTATTAAAATTAATTCATTTTGTAATACGACAAAAATACTGTACCGTAACTTTTTTGATAGATAAGAAAGTCAGAGAGAGCACACATTTACATTTTACAGTTCCTTTTTCTAGATTAACATCTGGAAAAGTTTTTGAATACATCATCAAAGTTAATTTTGTAACAAGTCTGCCTCAACCATCAGCAAATATAAGAAATCAAGCCTTTCTTGTTTCATTGTCGATCTACTTGGATTTTTTGCACGTTTGAACTGAGAAAAAGAGCGCTCAGTTGAACAGTTCGTAAACATTAATGTTAAAAATATGTGCAAGGTGATTTCTACATTTGGAAAAGCACAGACCATGTTGTCTCTATTACTTTGTAGAGGTCTGCGTGACTGAACGTGTTGTTCTCAGATTTTGATCCATGAAACTTGTGGCGAATATATGAGTGGAACTGTTGTATTTCAGTATGTAAATTATTGTTCAGCTCTTCAGGATAAGCATTTATTAGTCCTTCACAACACAGAGATGTTTGTGGTGAATCAAACCAACAAGAAGATCAAACTGCTAGATAATTATATACCTGTCCTCATCTACTCATCTCCGTCTCAAGTTTGTCAACAATGGTGTAGAAAGCAGATATACGAAATTTTTCTCTGGCATTCTTAGATACCTCAGGGGCATCACCATCAATGACCACTGTCTTTCGTTTACGATTACGGGTCAAAGTTGACTTATAATCCATACCTGGTGTTATTTCTTTTGCATCTTCTTTAAGTCTTTCAAATTCATTCCTAGATTCATGCAAGTGATCTGCTAGTGAAGAATACAAATCAGCACACGTTTTCAAGTTCACATGCTCATTTTGTAGAGCTTGACTGACCCAATTCACAATTGTTTTCACTAGCAGACAAAAACGGAAGTGAATTTGTCGCTACGCATTAGTGCGTTACGTAGCACAAACATATCCTAGAAAAGTAAAAAAATAGCACCAAAAAACCTTGAAGAAAAATAACAAAAAATAGCAAAAAAACTTACCCCCGGGTTGTGGGACCAAGGTTAAATAATGTGCGATTCAATATTACATTTGCGATTTGCTTATGCCATGCAATTACGCTACCGGGACAATATACACATTTTTCTTGAGGTCTTGTGGTGCCCCCCAAATGCTTGGTGCCCTAGGCACGTGCCTTGTTTGCCTAATGGTTAATCCAGCCCTGTGCACACCATATTAATTTATAGTTCATTGCACAATTTTTTAGCAAAATATTTAAAATGTCTTACCTCCCCCCATGCTTTGTTTGGAGGTGGCCTGGGATAATGATCGTAAACATCATAGGCAACATTTTCCATAAACCACCCAAAGCTTTTACAATTGTGTTCCTTTTTAAATTGTAGTTGCTTTGAAATGTCGCCGAATGGATATCCCTTGAAACTTGGCTCACGTGTGTAAAAATAATTCTTGAATTCATCTTCCATCCACACCTCTACAACCCTCATGTAGTTCTGGAAAAAAACATTTTCATAGAGATACTGAAATTTAAGGACTATGGAAAAACTGGTTTGAAATAAATATAAAGATATAAAGATATTTTTTTTTTAAAACATGGTTTTCAACTCAGCTCTTTCCACAGAATTTAAATGTATTGCTAATGCTTTCATCAGCAAATAACATTAATATAAATTAAACTTTACATAACAATATATTTAAATCCTACCTATTACCATTAAAAAAAAAGATGAAAGAAAAGAATGGCCTCAAGTTCCTATTGAAAACAAATATCAGAAGAATGGAAACTTTAAAGCCTCTCATAACTCTGTTAAAGAATGAAAATATAGGGTACCGGTACTTTTATGAAAAATATCATCAAATAAACAACATTTAAAATGTCAAGATCTTCATTTTCAAACATCTAATAGTACCGGTAGCTGTTTCTATTGATGATGGGAATTACAGCACACTCTGAACTGGGTACTGAAAGTTAAGGTACTTAAGGTAATGAAAGACACAAGTTAGGTCTCAGAACTTTGCGGTTCTCACAACGGACAAAGGAGAATAGATGCCTTACACTGAAGGGAACCATTGGGCTCAGTAACATTGCCTCGTCCTGTACTGGATCTAAAGTGATTTATTTCTTCACATGCTATTAAACTTCTTTCTTAAAACAAAATTCCATTGAAAAAAAGACATTTATTATGATTTATAGATATTTAGAAAATTTTTTAATTCACTCTGCTTGTCAGCAAAATTTATGTCTCTGGTTGACCTCTACTTACAATGTATATAGGGGACATGTTGGTATCTATATTACCAAGACCATAAGGCATATGATCCCTGTAGATGTGTCCGACTCTTGAACATGGCACCCACTCAACACTGCCTCCACATTGCCATATCTAGGATAGAAAATAAGCCACATTTAGATTTGAATTAAACAATTTAAGCAAAAGCATATTTTATTGTCCTCTTTTCAGTTTTTGCATTGTGTCATGGATTTAATGTACAGAGATTTTTGTGTTCACTTGATTCCTAATTTTTTACTATTCCATAATTATATTGTGTTATAAAAATGTAAACACTTACCTTGAATGACAGCTCATAATTTTCTCCACCCCAAATTTTCAAGTTAGGATCATAACCCCCAAGTTCAAAAAAATATTTTCTGTCGATTGCAAAGAGTCCTCCTGCATGTGTAGGTGATCTGTTTTTTAAATACAAAAATTTAAGTTTTAAAAACTTCAAAATATAAAGGGATATAGTGCAAAAAAACATCAGAACATAGCACCAGCACATGTCTTTACTTCTCAGAAGCCTCAACACCACAGGTTTCACATGAACCAGAATTTTTATTCCACCTACTGTATCCAATGCATTTGCAGATCTAGTTATAAAATTTGAGTTTTACCCCCCAAAAAACTACCTGTAAGGCTCACTGTTGTATTTTCTTCTGCTTAATTCTTTTTGTGGAACTGGTGCTTCTTTATAGAAAAAGCCCCATTCAAAGATTCCTCTGTGGTGTGTCCTGCCATAAACAGAAGTATATTCCATGGTGTTGAAGTCTATTCCATCTATGACTGGCACAGCCATGATAGTTCTGAAATAGATTAACATTGCTCTAATTTCTATAGCTCCACAAAGAAAACTTTTATAATACCATCTAATTTTTCTTTGTTATAAATGATGCAAATTCATTAGGTATTAAACAAGTTATAATTCTTTTGGATTACCAGAGTTTGTAAGACAATGGATTGCTATTAACTTTTATCATATCACTATACTTTGCTGCAGTGGCGTAGCTAGGGTTGGTGTCACCCGGTGCAGTAAACTCATGGTGTCATGCCGCTCCCCCCGACTTCCAATGATGGATTTCTTCTTGTTAAAATAAGTCCACATTATAACATTGACAAGAACAAAAACAAATTAATTGAAGGTCAGGAGGTAAATGCATTTAAGAACTATAACAACATTAAGTTATAGTTATCTTTACATTAAATTTACTTTATTTTACATGTTCTTTTCCTGGTCTTCAAAGCTTCAAACCTGTCAATCACTTGATCAAAATCAATATCCTTCACCATATCACTTTCAATTGATAGTAGAGGTCAAAAAGCCTCCACTGTCCCATGATGGATTGTAAATAGTTCTTGATAAGCATTAGTTTTGAAAAGCTCCACTCATATGAAGCCACAGACACAAAGATCGTAAGAAACAATTGAAGGCCTCATGTTTTTTAATTTTGGGCTCAGTTTTCACCACTTATCAAAGCCAGTAACAAATTTGGAAGTTGTTTCTGTAACATTAACAGCAAACAATCTGCAGCAAAAACGGTACAATTTCTGACTAACCAATGACCAATTTCCATCCATGACAGCAGTATTTTCTTGCCATTTGGCATCATCCTGTAGAACCATTGTTTTGATAGCTGCATGCCTCTTTTAGATTTCACATCTTGCCTTGTCACTACACTGAATGGTCCGTCCTTGTTCTGAAACGAGGTACTCCATATGTTAATCATTTCAGACAGAAAATGATCTGGAACTGGTTCATTCCAGAGAGAAGCATCTGATAAAATACTCCAGTTTTTCTCATTAACCATCACATTTACAGAATCTTGGTTTGAATCAACATTATCAGCACCCATTTCCGTTTCCAAAGTTCCATGTCTTTTATTTTTATTTCCACAACAATCTCTTCCATTTTCTGCACTATTTGCTGTTCCATAGAATGCATGCTGCTGGTAATGGAGGTATCAGAATCAATGGTAGTCTTTTGATGAACCCTGGTCATCATTTGGTTTCTTGAAATCTCGAAGCATGGATCCTGGTAGTAATCTTAGTGAGACATCTTTTCATTTTTGTTTTTTGCTGCTGGTAGCCACTTGGCCATTTTGATTTGTGCATGCCATGTGGCATGATAGAATAATCTTGAACAATAAAATGCATTAATTGCTTTGTGTTTAAGACAACAAACAAAATAATTACTAACAGCAGTTCAAAAACAAATCAGCTATCAAAAATACAACACAAAGGTGGCTGGTAAAATCAAACAGTCGAAATATGACAATAGTGCTCAAATGCAGTGCTACTAACAAATCGGCGCAAATATTAATTTTTGAGTATATACGGGTTTCAATATATTTGGTTACAAAAACGCTATTCTAAAATTTAAATAAATTATTAAAAGATATTAGAAAATTTTGTAAAATATTATTTTTTTAACCTTATCAATGGGTAAAAAGTGATTTTTTTATGTTTTTCATCTTTACAGATTCAATTCATGTCCTTAGAATCGCAGACCACATTGTATTAAAAATTTTGAATCAATGGAAAGCTTTATTTCTCAGAATTTAGATGAATATAGCTGCCTGTCACTTTTAAAAGTTACTGGTAACGAACATTTCAATCATCATTAAATCTTGTTTAAAATGATGTTTTTCTGACCTAATTATAGGGTCATCTCATTTCTGACGCATTAACTTTTAATAAAGAACGCATTTAGCTTGGTTACATGTGTGGAAAATTTACGGGTGGTCAGTAATCCTTTTATGAAATTCATTTAGACAGAGCAGCAATATGCAATTTTTCAATTCAGTGTCACCCCCTGAAATGGTGTCACCTGGCGCGTATTGCACATCCCACACCCCCCCAGTTACTCCACTGCTTTGCATGTGCAATATAAAGCAACTATAAAAGAAAGAATCTGAATATTCCTTTAAGGCACCACTACATCCCAACTAATAATTCTAATTTTGATATTGCAAATCACCCTAAGAGAGACATATATTAAACAGAGCTTATTTTAATTTAAGATATTGCATTCAAACATAACTTGTAGTTGATGTTTCACCTCATTCTTTGACACATATAATTTCTCTTCCCGAGAGCATTGACATGAAACATGTAATAAGATAGTTTTTTAATCACCTGTCCTGTCGAATTCTGTCAAGTAGTGGAACAAGCCAGTTTCTATTACACTCACAGTGTGCATCTAAGAAAACAACAACTTCTCCAGTGGCAAGCTCAGCCCCTCTAGTCCTCGTCCTGATCAGACCCTCACGTTTAGAATTTCGGTACAGCTTCACAAGACCTTTAAACTCTTTCTTTACGTAGGTTTCAAGTTTTTCTTTTAAATGAGCTGTTGGAAATAAATGTTAAAAGGTCATGCTTTTGTTAAAAACCTTCAGGGTTTAAAGCTTAAGCATTTTGTTTCTGAAGTTTTACGATTCGGGTTAGCCTTGCTATTGCCATGCACACATTTTTGGGGCAAACTACATGTCTAAAAATATTTATCATTAAGTTTCAAGAGTTAATTGCAATTAGAATACAGTATGTAATTACATTTTAATGTTGTTTTTATTTCTTAGAAAACGATTTCCTGAAATGATATTATAATAATATGTTTTTGAAGAGGATGCAATTTTAATGACCATTCTTTTAACGGTCACATCTATCATAGTTTTGGCTACAGTTGGGAAATGCTCTATAATATTATGAATATTATATTTTGATTGTAAAATATAGTTCCCTTACATTTGGTACTAAAATCATCCACTAATACAACTTCATGTAGGAATTTTTGAGGTGATGTGTTGACAACACTGTGAATAGTTCTCACCAGGGTTGAAAAGCCTTCATTATGAAATACTAATATAACACTAGCTTTAGGCTGATTGGTCGAGTAGTGCCAATGCTTGCATCTGGAATTACAACATAGATATTTAATGTATATGCTGGTGTATTTACTGTAAAATATTTAGGTAAAATATTACTATAAAGTAAAGAGGTACAGATTATAAAAAGGGATTAAAGTTTTCATTTAAACCTTACTTACGAAGAAAAAACTGCACAAATATAACATAGCAACAGATAAAATATACTTATCTCTATATACTTTAATATTTTTGCATTTTTTATATTTTAATTATTGTTGCAGATGCTTTGAAAATACCTGTCCTACTTTTCAAGAGACTTTTATTTACCTTAAGTTACATAGTTGTTTAAATTCCTATGTCTAATGTAAAAACTGTACACATCAAGACAAACTTACTCTGGCAATCTTGTATCTGGAATAGTTCTATTCATTGCCATTTTATCACTTGCCACCATGTTGAAACCAAATTCCCCCACTGTTTCATCTGCATGAACTCTTTCATCCTCAGAAATAGTTACTGGCTTCCCCATCTCCCCTATACAAAAGTAAAATAAAAAAATATCGGATTACTTTCAATCTTCAAGTTTAATAGTATTTAATTGTTGTTACGATCAATTGCTTCAAGGGAGATCAATGATGCATGTTACACACTCAAAAATTTCGGAGCCTGTGAATTTCCTAACCATGTGTGACACCCGAAAATTTAGGCAGATCTATTTGAAATGCACTATTTCAGATTGAGGATCAACGCCTCTTTTTCTGGGAATCCTAAAAGGGCTACATAAAATCTTGCATTATAATATATCAGAATAAAAATAATTTTTGTATATTTTTTACAAATTAAAAAAAAAATTCACAAGCCTGGTCTATCCCCTCCTGGTAAATCTGGAGGTTCAAAATTTCCAAAAGAATCTTTCTTTAAAACAGCTTTCTCCTTTTCACTCCTGGGCTGTGGAAATTCATCAGAACCCATACTTTCTGGTTCAGCTTTTGCTTCAATGAAGTTGCCCTTTTGCTGCTGCTATTAGATGAAGTAAGACCAGTTTTAACAACTTTTTCTAATAAAGATTAAGAAAATCATTAGGAATTTTAAAAAAATCAAACATTATTTTATAATATAACTGTTAAGACTTCCATTCACTTAGTAATTACACTCTTACCCGCCACTTTCGATATGTTTCTGCATCATCTTGAACATCTTCGGATAATTTCAAATGAAATAAGTATGGCCCCAGTAGTAGCATTGCAATGATAACCACACCAAGCTTTACCACAAATCGTATTCGAGGCTTACGCATTCTTATTCAGTTGAGGCTCGTTCAGTCTTTATTTTTAAGTTCAATCAGTTGACATTTCAGTCTTATATAAAAAAGAAAAAATTCAAACATAAAATGTAAGATGTATTGATATCATGAGATCTGTTAAGTAATTTTATTTATTAAAAAGTAAGTGAAGTTACAACAACTTATATACAACTTCAAAAAATATCTTTCTTTGCAAAATCTTCCAGTTTTGTCCCTAGTACTTCTCAAATACACTTTAGAGACCGTTATTGATTTTACAAGGGCTCACTAATCAATATAAACTACTAGCAGTATGGATTGTAAACAAAACAAATAAATACATCGATAAAGAGAACAAAGGCACCCAAATGTAAATGATAGCCTACAGTACAAAAAAATTTCATTCTTTTTCAGCCTTTATAAACCTTCAAGCTAGTGATATTTTTCAGGCAAACCTGATTTTCAAAGGTGGTTTACAGTCCAATTTAATTGTTTTCTGACTCTGTCACTCTCTAGTTCTAACAAATCTATTGAGGAACCCTTCAAAATCGCTGCAGAATCCTAGAGGTTGTACATACTGGGGTTTTTACAATTATATTGTACATTGTAAACACTAAATAAACATTTTCTATATTTTGTAGTCGCCAGATGTTAGAGCTAATTTCATACCAGTCCATTACCAGACCAAACGTAATGACAAAAAAAATCAATATATTTCAGAAAATGTTTAACAAAATCTATCAAATGCATTAAAATGACGATGATCCTAGAGTCAGTATTTTAATTTAATTTTCCAGTTAGAAGCTGATACGGCCCACATTTGACATGAGAGCAAAAGAATTTGAGCAAACATGTGGAATGAAAGGACGTGGCTTTGTTCGAAAAACACATGAAATGTTTTGTCAAAGCACAATATTTATAAAATTGTTATCTAGTTTTTTTATATTATATATTTTAAACTGCATAAAAGTGCACAAGCATTTTGTATTTAAAATCAAACTAATAAAATTTAAATGCTTAACTTGTGAGAAACAGACACAATTAATAATTCCAACTGTATAATGAATGATATTTTACTAATAAAGAAACTAGGACTTAATTTAGTCTGAAAACAGATAAGGCAACTTTACAAGATGTTTCTCATTCAATTTCTAACTTAGGTAGCACTTCTCTGCTGATGTTTGCTGTGTGGACAAAATGTATGTGCTTGCTACCCCCTAGATTAAGTATGGTACTTTTGTAGTGGGTGCAAGAGGTTTAACCAATTTGCAAGGGGTGTAAGACAGGGTGAGTAAAAATTAACTTTAAGATGTACAAAAATCATAAATTATTTTAAAGTCTTTTATAGTGTCTTCGCAAAAAAATAAGTTTCTCTTTCAAAGTGATGAAGCTTTAACTTTAAAATATGTATCAATAAATTTGCATTTATTGAGTGGGCATTCATAGTCAAATAATTATAGGAGTGCAGACTATAAATGATTGGGAAAACATGCTTTAGATTAAGTAAGGCTCACTTACTGCTTAGATTAAAATTAAGTATGGCTAACTTACTGTTAAAATTTAGAGCTCTCTGAAACAAAATTTATCTTCACAGAAAATAGCACTGGTTAAGTATTTTCTCAAATTAGCCATAACAATTGTTAGCTTACTGAATGGTTTGTGTGTTGATATTTTGAATCAGACAATCTACTTTAACTAGTTTTAGTAGGCTTTTCAGATATAATAGTTTACAGGACTCTGCATGAGTCATGAGTATAAATTTTTAATATATATGTCCATTAACAAAGAAGCAGCAACACACTTATTTATAACTGATGGGGGGATATATTGTATTCTTATACATATCCCTTTTCAGGTGGGAGGAGGAATATTGGAAGGCTGTGAGTTTGAGACCCAATGAATGACACAATCACAAAGTAAAATACAATTTTCCTGAAAGTTAGAAGAGAAATGTATAAAATAGTATACTATAACTGTATAGGCATAGGCCATACACCTAATTAATATTGCCTGCTAAATTATTTTGACATTGACTTCATTGAGTTGACAGTATGATTGTCAGTATAAGTCAATCATTGACTACTCAATGATGAGTTATAGTTCAATGATAATTTCACTGAATGAGTTCAATGAGGTTAATTATTAAAATTTAATAATGATTATAATAAATTGTTATATTTAAAAAAATCTTGTTTCGTCATAGTCATAGCCATGACCATGTCACTTATTTATACTCTTGATAGTTGATACTAACCTTTCAAGACTTTACTAGTTACATGAACATTATTTTTAAATTTATAGTAACTTTGCAGTTTGCTGCAAGTTACTACTTTTAAGTTAACTTTTAGGCAATTTAAGCTTTTGTTAATTACTTTAGTGACTTAGCTTGCCCACTTCTGCTGAGATAGCAGTAGACACTACTACTACTCAGTAACTGTAACTCAAGTAATTTTAACTTTAAATTTTAAGTTACCGTACTAAGACAGGAGTTACAGTTAGAGGATTAATAAGACTTAAATTTAAAAACTTAAATAATGAAAGATAGTAACATTTGGAAATTGATCTGATAGTTTGATTAAGTGCATAAAAAAATCATAATATTTGTTTTTTTACAAAAATAAAATAAATTACTGTAAAATACAGTCTGTGTCTGTGCATATTGAGTGAGAGGAATAAACGTTGTCGGTGCTTATACTAAATACACCGGGACAACCAATCAAGTCGTCTAGGATTAGACTAGTGCATTAAAAGAAATTGTGACAATAGATAGATAACAATTAAAAATAAAGAAAATGGCTTTCCTGTGTGATCTGACTGCTGCAGGCATAATAGGTAACAACGATTTTCACTTTACTTACTTTTTATAGTATACAAATATATAAAATCCTAAATATGTTATATTTCATGAATAAATTTGAAGACACATTTTTTAAATAAAGGGTTAGTGTACTCTTGTCTAGCAAAATTACCTTCAATAATTACTATGGTACCGTCAGGCCAGTGTAAAGTGGGCGTGTCTGTCTATGACCACTCACGGTCTTATTTATTTACCGATGTCGATAAAGTCCTGTGCAATTTGAAGTTTTGATCACCCCTCCCCCTTTTTTTTCCTCTTACAATATTTATAATAAACTGAATGAAATGAGTATATGTATAATGTATAGAGTATTGTATAGAGTTTAGTCATAGTGATGATGATAGTGATAGTGTAGCCTAAAGTCAAGTAAAGTAGATAGCTAAAATGTATTTATTTAATCAATTTAAATGTTAATAAAAGTAAGTAGCCAATCTATTTTCTATCTAGATAGTCTAAATTAGTAAATTAGGCTATATAATGACTTAAAGGCTAAAGGCAAGCAAAAGCCTAAAGTTCTAGTCTTAAACTGAAGCTAATATGAGGTGGGGTGTCTTTTAACCTTCCGACGGGGCGCGTCTGATCAGATTAATACAAGCGAACTTTGAGCTGTTTTTGTGCAGAAAAAGTTTTTAGAGTGCAGATATTGGCTGCTTTGTTCAATTGGTACACCGCACCTTTGCACGATACTTTTTGAAGTTTGACAATAGTATTATTTTCTTGCTCTGGTAAGTTACTTTTTGAACTTTTTGTCAAATTTTTACATTTTCACATATATACTGATATATTATCTTATTTTTAAATAATGTCTGTGTGTTTTTAAATAATAAATATCAAATTGATACATTGGGCTCAAATGAGATATTTATACTTATCCTTATTATATTGCAGGTTCCTTCTACTGTCTTTTAACAATACTAAAATGGAGGGTGGTACAAAAATGTTTGATCTTATGATTCTCAGTGATATAGAGGAAATTAAAAGAATACTTTTTGAAGATCTTCTGAGGATGAGGAGGTTGTCACAGAGAGCCAAGATGCAGTTGAAATTCGTCAGAAAGATTCACTGTCAGAGGAATACAAGGATGATATTGAAGATGTAGAATTATAGAATTATTTGGCAGTGATACTTTTTATTGGAAAAGACAGAGGAAAAAAGGAATAAGAATCAACCTTTAAACAGAGTACATTTGAGAAGTAGCAATTTAATTAAAAAAACTCTCAGGTCCTGCAAAAATGTCACAAACCTAACTAGAATGCCAGAGTTGCTGCTCAGTGCTATACAAATCAATATATTGAAAGCAACTAGACACAAAATTTTATCAAGAAAGAGATGTGAGACCAATCGTACAATGTAGAGAGACATGTGTGTCATTGGCCAATGTTAAAAAGTTTTGCATTATAAATATGAATGATATCAATATCAAACCCAAATTATTCATTTTGGAAATTAACAAAATATTGTCAGAATAAAATTGTTTGAAAATAATTTTCCAATGAATTAGTGCTGCCTCAATTTACTAGAAGGAGTAAAAAGTCAATTTGTAAAATTAGATTTGATGTCCAGGTAATGTCTTTGCTTTTATTAATGTGCTATCTTTATTTAATTTTTTTTTCCAGAATTATACGACCATTATTAAATGACAAATAAAATATTAATTTCGATTATACTATAAATGTGTGTTTTCTTTACAACTTACTTTTCCATTTTATATTGTTTGTTGATCATCGTATTTAAATAAGAAATTATTTTACAATATTCAAGTCAAATAAACTTATTTAATCAGTCAGTCATTAGTGATCTCAATTTGATACACCGGGCCTGCTCTAGTTTAGAAAAAGTGTGACTGACAGAAGGTTAAAGGTTCACATGAGGATAAGCAAAGCTAAAAAAATATATAGTCTCTCGTGACCAAAGCCATTTATCATAATATTAAAATAAAAAAAGTGATCTTATTAAAAATAGAAATAAAAATAGCTTTGGTTTCTTAACCCAGATAATGGCATAATAATAATAATTAATTCTAATATTCAAATCTTGGGGGCCATCCATAAAAGACGTCCACCAATTTTTTGCTATTTTTTACCCCCCCTCCCCCCTGTCCACTTTTGTCCACTTTTGTCCACTTTTGACT